ATACATCACTGCTCCTGCCCGGAAGCAGCACCATACATCACTGCTCCCGTTTCAGGGGCCATGCCTCGCTTCCAGGCGCTGGGGAAGGGCAGTGCCGTCCTCCCCATGCTTGAAGAAAGGGACAGCTGGAACGTCCTGGAAGCATCCCTGTCTACGGCAGCCGCTCACCACGCTGGTGTTCCAAAACCGTTGTTCTCCTCGACTGCTGGCTCTCAGTGCTTGCGGCTTTACACGTTTTTATTATCGTATTGTCATTTCAGTGTAGCTTTGAGAGAGAGCAGAGATAAACAGCATCTTGAGCGGCTCAACACCCCGCTCAAAATAACCAAAACCTTCCAACTGCCACTGTGTTCTTGCTCCTACCTCTGTCTGATTCCACCATGCCTCTCTTCTCCTCTCAGAATGACTGTGTTGCCTAAAGAGAGGCTGGTAGGCTGTGAAACTTTTCGGAACTAGTCATTCCTGAACGATATTTTCCCAGAAGGGGGTTGGGAGGTAGTTTTCAGATATATTTGGAATAGAGAAATCTTTAGCAGAAGCAAAGCACTCACAGGTTGTTAGTTTCCAAAAACCAATCACTTTTGATCAGTGCTGAGCCTCTAGTCTATGCTCAAGTTCTGGCTAACAAGCAGTCCAATCTTCACACTCACCCATTAACAAATGCCAGCTTGGCTCCCAGTGAAGAGCAAGACACTGGCGTTCTGAGCGAATGAAAAGGGGCATTAAAAGCAGATTTAGCAATCAGCAGTTATCGCCGGCAAGTGGTAATGCATGTGTTTTTTTATTTCCCTCTAAGTGCTCACTTTGGCTTCTGATCATGCCATTTTTTGTTGTTGTTTATTTATTTTTTTTTTTTGAGAGAGAGAGAAACCTTGAGGGGGGTGAAGAGGGGCAGAGGGAGAGGATCTTAAGCAGACTCCGAGCGCTGAGCATGGAGCCTGATGCAGGGCTCGATCTCACGACTCTGAGATCATGACCCTGAGATCAGCGCCTGAGCTGAAATCAAGAGCTGGATGCTTAACCCACTGAGCCACCCAGGTGTCCCTGATCATGCCATTTGAAAATGCATTCCAAGGCTACTTCTTTAGGTCTGCTGACCATGACCAAGAAAAGACAGTCCCCTTTGCTAAAACCAGACCTGGGCTAATAAAACATGTACTTTAGTCTCAAATCCACAGATTGTACAGGGGGAAACTGCCCTGATGATACATTTTTTTCCCCCTGTGAATCAGTGGTTCTTAATCTTTTATATGCCGAAGAATCACAGGGAGAATTTACAAAATAAAACAAAAACATATCCCTTAGACATTCTAATTTGGAAAAGGCAGTAATTTGTATTTTTAACAAGAACCTTCCAGACTGACCTCAGACCACAGTTTAGCAGTGCTTTTTCATTTTCTACAATAGCATACACAGAAAGAGCATTCAAGTAAATATTTTTTGATGCTGAGGTGGAAATCAACAGAATGTAAAAACTTCTATTTTTCCCTCATAATACCATCAAAGACATAGGAAATGAAGGTCTTTACTATGAACACGGAAGGACAGATGAAATACAACTCACAAATTCAAACAGCTTCCAAATGACGGATGGAATATTTTAAAGCACAGATTCTGGGTTTTGCTTTGTAGTAACTCATAACCTAGTAAGCCCTACTCACCAATCTCTCGGCAACAAGCTGAATTTCTGCCAGTATGAATTTCTAAAGCATCACCTGATATCCTATCATCAATTCCACCTTTTGAGTGAAACATCGTGCAGGAGGTTTAAGTTGGTCTCCTAGTTCAAATGAATCAAAGCAAGCCCCAGTCCTAAGATAGGCTGTGCTGTGGGCTCATCGTGAGGCTGCAGCCACAGCGGGGTGAAGTCGGTTATGTCAAGGAGCCGGGGCGTGGAAGAAAGCTGAAGGAGGAACCAGCACCTGGACCTAATGCTCCTGCATCTTTTTCTCTGATGGATTTCCAAGGTTCTAAAAGGAGGTGGAACTTGGCCTCTTGCCCGCTCCTTACTTTTGAAAACCTGCTCCATTTTCCCACCACATGTGCAAAATGCCGCAATATTTCCCTCCTTGCCAGGAGGAACCTGGAGGCAGCTGGAGGTCAGGAAGACGTCTACACGTGAGGGCACCTGTCTTGACCTGTTCTATGCGAAGCCGGGACAACAGAGGAGAGACACGGAGCGTCCATGAACTAACTAACTGACCCAATGCTGCCCCCTTGCTGGGGAGGACGCAGATCCTTTCCTCCCTGGTTTCCCACCTCTCCTTAAGGGAGCCGGCGAGTTAATTAGCTACTGGCAAATGTTGACTGTTACTTAAAGCGGAGGTGAATGATACCTCTGACGGGCACAGCCCTTCACAGATAAGCAGGATGAACAAAGAGATTCCAGTAATGGTTTCTCACTCCAAAAGATATACTGAGAAATAATCTGGTGCAATCACAGAAGGCAGAATGAAATGAAATGAAATCGAAACTCCTAGCCCTTCTTTTAATCCAAGCTCCCATTTTAAATGAAATTATTCAAGAGAATGGAAAAGTGAGAGCGCAAAAGAATCTTGAGCGCCAGGTGGTGGGGGCAAAGGTGAGTCTTCTTGATTTATTTTGAATGGACTGTGACACCCAAGCTTGCCATGTTATCAAATTTCTTTAGGTATTCCAAAAATGGAAAATAAAATGTTGGCAGAGGCAGCGATAGCTTTCTGTACCTCTTCCCGAGGAAGCACAATGAAGTTTTAAACCCCAAGCAGGTCTTTTGGAGAGAAGGGTGTCCCGGGTCCACCAGAAGTGAAAACTGAGCACTTACTAAAAGCCACAGTGAGACCCAGGGTGGGTGAAAAACCGCAGGACCCCTGGCAGGAAAAAGCTCAGAAGAATTTCCCTGATATCCTCCAAGGATGCCACAAGCGTGGCTCCAATCCATTAAGGGGCTGCTTTAAGGCAGTGGTGCCCAAATTGTGGTCCTGCACCCAGCAGCATCAGCACCACCTGTGAACCTGTTAGCTGACAGGGTTGAACTTCACCTGAGCCCTGTGATTCCAGAACACAACGAAAGTTAAGGAAACCTCCCCTACCCTTTTGTGCTCTGGCAATGGCTCCCTGCAAAGACCAACCCCTACCTATATAACTTACGGAAGACTCACAGGTGTCCCCCCCCTCTTTTTTTTTTTTTTTTACCTATGACAAGGCAGACACAGACCCTCCAAATTCACCTTTGCCTGACGGTGATTAGCTGAACTGCCCATAAGTCAGAACAAAATGTCTGCTAACCAATCTTCGCCTGAACTTTTCCCCTTCCTCCAGGTCCTTGAACTTTTAGCCAGCCTACACCCCACACCCCCTCCTCAACCGGCCTCTGGAGAACAGGCTGGCCTCAGGTTAAAACATACGCTCTTCTGCAAGACATTCAAGCCGGGCTTTCATCCCACTTCCCCACAACCCCTTCTTGCTAGTCCTGTTCACTCCTCCCTAGAAAGGAGACCCTCTTTTTGCCCAGCCCCAGAGACCCTTGCAGACCCTATAATCAGAGGTTCTCCTATTGCAATAGGCCCCATACCCTGTTACAAGAGTACCTTTCTCCCCTTTGCAAAAAAAGTCTTTCCGATGAAGTCTCTCCTTGCACCATCCGGACTTGGTTTTTCTTTGACATTACAACTACAAATTCTCAGGCCCCACCCCTGCCTTCTAAGTGAGAAACCGCTCCAGGCACAGTTTGAAAAACGAGCGTTTTACAGCCATTCCCTCCAAGGGTCTGAAAAACGCGTTCCACACCTGAACTCCATCCCACCCGTGTTTCGCTCAGGGGCTCGTAAGCGCAAGCAGCCTCCGAGGCTCACGGTGGACACGTTTTTAGCGTCCCCACAGACCACTAATGTCGTGAAGTCATTTCACCAGTGGCAAGCAAGGCCCCGCGCGGCGCTGAAGCCCGAACCTGCGCATACTCACATCTCCATCCACCGGCCTCTGGTCGTCACAATCCCTCGTGGGGCTAATGTCCTGGCGCATGACCCAGATGGGCTCTTTGGGCTCGTCGGGCGTGTAAGGCGAACGGATGGTCCTGGTTTTCACCTCCTCGATGGCCTCTTTGATGTCCTTGATGGCCAGCGAGATGGCGTCCCTTTTCTCCTTGCTGTACCGCTGGCCCGCCTCGCCTCCCGCCGTGCCCGCCGGCCGCTGCTGCCCCGCCGCCGGCGCCTGCTGCCCGGGGCTGTCGGGGCGGCCCCCGCCCGGGGTGGGGGCGCGCTCCAGGTCCTGCTCGGCCTCGGGCATGTCCTCGGCCGCCTTGTCAAGGCTCTGCGAGCTCATGCTCTGCTTGACCTCGGCCACGATCTGGTCGATGTCCTCCTCCTGCTCGTAGCTGTCCATGCGCGGGTAGGGCGCGAACTCGGCCTCCTTCTCGGGGCTGTCGGACTCGCCGTCCGAGCGCTCGTCATAGTGGTGCAGTCGCGCGCCCAGGGCCTCCTGGCGGTACGCGGCGGCCTCGTCGCGCTCCTGCTCGTACAGCCGCAGCCCGTCGCGCGCCTCCAGCTCGGGCGCGTCCCCGATCTCCTCGTACACGTGCTCCTGGAGGCCCCCGTAGTCGGCGTAGGGCTCGGCGTAGGGCTCGTCCTCGCCGCGGTGGAACAGCCGGTGCGTGTACACGTAGCCCGAGTAGGCGGCGTTCATCGCCTCCTCGTGCTCCAGCGAGTGGAAGTGCAGGTGGTTGGGCAGCGCGCGGCGGTGCGTGGCCTCGGCGTGCTCGGCCTCCGCCTGCTCCGTGTACTCCTCGGCCTCGGGCCGGTACTGCACGGCGTAGGCGCTCTCGTCTTCGGGGTCCTGCGCGCGCTCCGCGTCGTAGCCGTCGCGGGCCGCGGCGATCACGTCGCCCTCGGCCGTGTCCGTGTGGTTGTGGAAGCCGCTCTCCGTGCTGGCCGAGCGCGCCAGGCACTCCCCTCGCTCCTCCTCCTCCTGAGGCCCCGGCGGGGCGCGGAGGTCGTCGACGGCGCGCCCGCGCCCGGGGCGGCCCGCATAGCGCTGCTGCGGCGGCCGCCGCTGCCGCTGCTCCTCGTCCACCTCGGGGTGCTCCAGGTCGGCCTCCACCGACTCATTCACCTCCCCGCCTGCCGCCTCATCGGTCACCTCCACCTCCGCGGAGCCCTCCAAGTGGTTCATGGTGGGCGTCGGGCGGGCTGGGAGCGAGGCTGGGCCGGCTCACTGCGCTCTCATTTTGCTCCGCGCGTCTGGGAAGACAAGAAGGGGAGGGGCTGTTAACGTGCTTCAGACCCAGAGAAACCGTAAAAACAGCTGCTATTGATCCCTTTTGACTCCGGGTCAATTAAAAAATGGTTGCAAATTTCAACGCCGTCTGACAGCACATAGTGCATTTTCTTCCTTGCATGTATCGTAATTTGTAATTACATAGCTACTTGTCTAATTGCTTACTGGCTTTCTCCCTTCCCCACCCCTCAGACTGAGAGCCTCATGAGCGTTTTGTTCTCTCTCCACCATGCTTACTATTCAGGTTCCATTTCTGATGCACATGAATAAAGAGTACTACTAAATTGAATGGGCCAATTGACACATTTTCCATCTGCTAAGGGATAAATATCTCCAAATTAAACTAGGATCCTAGATACTTTAGAAACGGTTCTTTAAATAAATTTCAAGGGAAAAAATAATCTCGAAATGTTTTGAGCTCTTGCTGTCAATATAAACACGCAGCCTTTCGGAGGCAGGCTATCCACCATCAGAGGCTTCTTGTCCTGTTATGACTGGCTCTGTTACCTTGGACATTAAAATTAAGTGGCTTAATTTTCTGGACCTCCACGATGAGATCAGACTCACTGACTAAGGGCTGTTACACAGGGAAAAAGACTCCGTGATCAAGTAAGTTTGGGAAACGCTGATTTAGAGTTGACTTTTCATTGTGACTATTCAAGAGGGAAGACACATGATGTGGGGTTTCCTAAACTTGTGTGAGGAGGAAACTCTTTCCTAGAGGCCAGTGTTCTGACAAATCCACTTAAAGAAACACTCACTAGTGTACTTCCCCATACACCCTGGACCTAAAATTCTCTGATTCTATGAATTACCATTATAGCTGGTACAAGATATATGGAAATCATGGCTACTTTCCTAAAAATACGGATATGTCTGTTTATCCATTTCCAGAGAAACCTGTAGCTAGAGATGGATTTGGTTTCAACCTCTCTCATTATCACAAAATAGCTTTACAGCATGATGCGTCCCGTGTATGGAAATAGATACAAAGGATGTACAGAACAAAAATGGGCGGGATTCCTATGATTTCAAGACACCTGTGGGAAATGCGTTCAACTATAAGTGTAGGCTTTTCTCATAGTGTTCTTTTGGAGAACCCACGTTACGACTGGACAAAATGGATGGGAAGTGAACTCGTTGATGTACTAGCAGAAAGCTCCAAGAGGATCAGGGGCATTTGATTGACTAATATGACAGTGGGCTATATTCTACTCAGCTCTCCACAACCACAGCAATTTCCTTCAAGCACTAGGACAATCCCAGTAGTAAAGGGGGGCATTTTGGAGCTTCCAAGTTCACCCTCAAGCAGAAATACCATCTTTCCACCATTCTTTGGTGGACCCACCCGCCATTCCCCCACTGCTGGCTGGCACACACTGGAAGAAACCAATTATGGTTTAACTTGAGATGAACAATCCCTAATTGCGTTCCTCCTTGGCAAGAGTCCCACTTCATACAAGTGAGATCCAGTCTCCTTTGAAAAATTGTGGCCTCCCCTCATTAACCCTTGAGAACAGTGACTCAGAGGAGGCATAAGAAAGTTTTCCAAAAGCAAGTATGAGGCTCCATTCAGACTTTGATGGATGGTTAATGCTTTCAACAGAAGAGGCACGTATTGGTGCTGAGGTCCCCCGGACTAAGTGGCTTCCAGTGGATCACGGAAAATACAAAACAGATATTCAGTTCGATACAGCACATGGACAAACAGAGTCTACCCACATTTCCTTTATGAGGCCTCTCTGGAAAAGACAACAAATTAAACGTACACATCTCAGTCTGATGGGCAAAAATCAAGTATTCACAGAGAGGGATACTGAACAGTGTTAGCAAGACAATAATAAACATCCAAAGCACGTGAATGGCCAAAAATTCATGATAACCATGTGCAGAATTGACCAAAACCCTGTCTACAGTGCAAATAGATTTTATTGATGAAAATCTACTGATACATGTATTAAAAAGAAGTTTTAGTTTAGGGGCACCTGGGTGGTCCAGTCAAACATCCGACTCCTGATTTCGGTTCAGGTCATGATCTCAGGGTTGTGAGATCGAGTCCCAGGTCAAGCTCCACACTTAAGATTCTCTCTCCGCTCACCCCCGCCCCCAAGTCCCGTGCACATGGGCACACACTCTCTCTCTCTCTCAAAAAAGTTTTAGTTTATTCTGGGTTAAAATCGCTGTTTGACCAGCAAACAGTGCCCTCTCATAGAGCACTTACTGATTCAAAGGAAATGGGATTTCTCTGCATGTCCGAACACTAAATCATGGTAAAGAAAGTTATAAGACGCCCATTCTTTGGGGGGAAAATACTGTTAAAAAATGTTGTTTGGTACTATGGAGATTTCTGTTCACTAAGTGCATTCTCCTTATGCCCCCACCCCTAAGCCTCAGGGGAGTATTTATTCATGGAGTATTTATATATAACTCACTGTCAGGGTTTTAAGAATATAGTTTGGGTTGTGGTATTGGCAACATGCTAATTAATAACATGTTGATTTGAGGGATTTCCCTAAGACAAAGGCAACTAGCAGCTTCTGAGGATGGAGCTGATGGTGCGGATCAGGTCCATTGGTGGCCCATGAGACAAATGTTCCCCATACCCTGGCAACTTTGGGAGTGGTTTTTATTAAAAAAAAATAGCAAAGCTAGGTTATTGTGGAAATCGCGGGTTATTGTGGAAAAAATATATAGATGTACAACTTGTTTGAAAAGCGATTTGGCAAAGGAATTAAAATCTTTAAAAGGTAACATACCTTTACCTCAGTAGTTCTACTTATAGAAATCTAAAGGGAAAACCTTAAATGTGGACAAAAATACGTTTCTCACAGTATTTGCTTAAAAAGCAAAGATTATAAACATGAAATACTAAGCGCTGACATTAAGTACCAGTATGTACAGTGCTAAGCGTCTTAGCATCATCTTCTGATCCAGGAAGATGTGGGGGTTTTCTTGCTGGGTCGCTCCACCCAGAGTTCGGGGTTCACACAGCACTCAAACTCAATCTGCCACAGTGGAACAGCCATGCCTCCTCGCCCTCCCTCCCAAACCTGGCCCCCTCCCATATCCCCTGTATGGGTGAAGGGCGCCAGCAGCACCCCCAGTTGCCCCAGCTCAGATCCAGGAATCATTACTGACTGGTCTCTTTTCCTCACCTCCTAGCCCAAACCTATGACCGAGTCCATCGTCTTAATGCTTCCTGCGTCACGCTCACCGCCACTGCCTCGTCTTGGTCTGTCCTGCCTACACAATTGTTTCCTTGACTCATTTCTCAGCCCCCTCCAGTCCATCCTTCCCACTGCTAGCCGGATGATCTTTCCCAAAATACAAATCCGAAGCCCAGAACCTGATTTCTCAAGCTCTTCAATGGTTCCCCTCCTGTACTGAGCTAAGTATACCAGGCACGGCTAGGCATCTTCTATGGATGGTGTGTTAAATCCTCACGCTAGCTTATGAAGAGAGTACTCTTCTACTCTCCTCCTAGAGAGAATTATCAGCTCCTTGAAAACTGAAGAAATGGAGGCACGGTGGGGCTAGGTGATCGCCCCGGGTCACACGAGCAACAGAACTGGTGAAACTGGTCCCTGACCCCCTCGTCCAGCTCTAGCTCTGGGTTCTTGAGTCCTCCTCCCTGCACACCAAGCCCAAGAGCCCCACCACTCTGCCAGCCCCACTGCCACACCTCACCTGCGCCCCATGTTCTAACACCCCCGGTTCTGACCCGAACTGTCTTCCCTACTCTCAGCCTATTTTTCACCTATATTTGGCGACTCTTTCCTGTCTTTGGTGACTCTTTCTTGTCTTCCCCAGAGCAAGTTCACACTTGAGGACTGCCTATTATGTGCCAGCCTCCAGGCAACGTTCTAGGCACTGGGGTGGAGTGGTGACCGAGGAAGACAGGCTTCTCTGATTCATGAAGGCTCCCTTCTGATGCATGAGGTGGAGGGCAGGGGTGGGAGGCGAAGAAGAAGGAGAGGGGAACGGACGGTGACTATGTAAATACACAGGATAGCCCCCAGTAGTGAAATAGTGAAATCTTATTTTCTTCTTATGAAGAAAATAAGATGGTAAAGGCATAGCAAAAGACCAGGGGGAGGGGGTTATGCACACAGTGGCCAGAGGAGGTGATGTGTGAGCTGAGGCCTGAATGATAAGGAAAGGGGAGGCCACATAAAAATCTGAGGGCAGGGCCACGAAGCAAGAAAGCACTTGCTCGGCTCAAGGGCAGAAGCAATGTTTGTGAGTGAGAAAGGGATGGTGTAAACGGAGATGATGGTGGGGAGATGGCAAGACCAGGCCTGGTACATCATGGTAAAGAGTTTGGATTTTATCTCAAGGGCACTGGTATGCTACTGAGTGGTTTTAATCAGGGGAGTTACAAGGCTTAACTCCTCACTTCATCCCCGTTATACTTTGTCTATTACTGTATATATATATACACACACACACACTGTATATATTATTTATATATATTATATATGTATAAATTATATTATAGCACCTGTCACACAAAGCAACAGTTCTTTATAAATATGAAGTCCTCAGGAAAAGAGGACTTGTCATCTATCTTTGATTCCCTAGTGCCAAGGACAGAGGTTGCAGAGTTGGTAGTCAATGAATTTTTAGTAATTAAAAAGAAAAAATGTCTATTTCCACCCCCCCACACACACAATATTTGGGGCCTTGTAGCCACTGGCATGCTCAGGCTTTAGAGAACTCATTTCTTCCTTCCATCTTGAATCTTTGCTGCCCTTATCCATCCATGCACCTCCTCCACCTTCTGATGCTCTAAGTGTCCAGAGAACTCTCGTGATTCAGTATTTTCCTACATTTGCATGTATTGATCCAGTTGGCATTTATTAGACGTTTGCCAGGTACCGTGCAAAGGCAAAGGGCATGCAAAGGTTTTGAAAGCGTGGTCCCAGCCTTCAAGGGCAGACAGCTCTAATGATTATAATACCTG